TTACACGCACCCTTTGTTTCTTGACAGTAATTTGGTTCAACAAAAGCTTGCTTGACCTAAATAAATGGTAAAACTGAATATGTTAATACTTGCCGGGAAGTAGTTTAATTTGATGTGAATTGACCATGAGAATGAACACGCACTTGTGACATTTTTTGCATTATTATATTATCTTGGTTTAAAAACTGGGTGAAAACTGGTAGTTTTTTTCTGCAATTTCTGTCTGGTAAACGATACTGCACCATTGGAAGAACAACAGAAATGAGGCTTAGTGCAGCATTGCGTATTATTGATATGAAAACATCACAGTTGATAATAATTCAAAAACTGAATCACAAAGACACAACAGGTTTTTAACCTTTGATGACATATTCACTTAAAAAATCTTTAGAAAATATTTGATTATATATCAAATACATCTTTGAACTGTCCAGTAAACAGGCAACGGTTTGAAACTACAAATACAAAAAAAGGAATAAATAAATAAATTAATAAATAAAATAAATAAAAATGAATACCGTACATGGCAGAATTGTAACTATTTGTATAAACAAAATTGATTATTTTGATCATTCGTCAGGTACTGAGGCTGTCTCAGCTGGTAAAGTCAACAAATTCAGTTTCTTTGCTTCTTGCTCCAAGCCGTCAGCGGCGCTAGTGTAGCTGTATTTCCTCAAGCCGTCCAAGAGAGCCTCAACCGTGGCCTCTTTCCCTTTGTACTTTCTCCAGGCGCGTAGGGCTCTGAAGGCCTGCTCCTTTTGGCTCTCTGGATACGCCTTCTCTAACTCAGCCAAGAACCCTTCCACGAAATCAGCGTTTGTGACAGGCAGATCACGTGCTAATAACTTCCAGTGTTGGTTCACACAAAGGTTGTCAGCGACTGCTTCAAGAAGTCTGGTGAACTCGTCGTACTGGGAGACGGACTTGCGCGTCTTGGTGGCCTTGGTGATGGCTTCCATGATGGCCGGATTGTTCTCGGCGATCTCCCGACAGGTGGTGCCATCTTTCGATTTGATGCTGACTTCCGCTCCAGCCTCGACCAACATCTCCACGATATGCACGTGGCCGGTTTGTGCCGCTATGTGGACCGGTGTCTTCCCTTCCTTATCCTGCGCGTTCATGTTTGCTCTAGACTCCATCAGGGACTTCACCACATATTTGTGCCCGCTCTCCGCCGCTAGGTGGAGCGGTGTCTTCCCATTATAGGCCGCCTTGTCGACGTCCCCACCCAGGGACAGTAGGGCGTTTACTGTATCCAGGTGACCAAAATAAGCCGCGATGTGGAGCGGGATCCAGCCAAGATCCTTCTGAACGTTGACCCCGGCACCTCGTGATAAAAGCATCTTTGCTATGGAAGAGTGTCCCTTCTGGGCGGCCATGTAGAGACAGCTGCTGCAGTCGCGTTTCTGTTGCATGTTCACGTAGGCACCGGCTTCCATTAGGGTCTCCACCACGGGTTTGTGGCCCCGCTCCACGGCCACGAAGAGACTGGTGGCGCCGCTGTTTTTGGGAAGGTTTACCTGGGAAGTGAGAGTGATCCTGTTAGACAGTACTTGACTGCACCGGGAAAGACTATGACTAGTTAATATGGCACAAGAATAATCATAAAATAAACCAAGGGATTTATTCGAATCAAAATTTACACCTTTAGATGCTTAGATCTATAGTTATCATTCATTATTTCTGGACATAATTCAGGTTCTCTGAGTAGTTGTGTCCAAGAGGATGCATGCTAGAGGTAAAATTTAAGAAAAGGGGGTTCAGACTATAGTCTTACCTGTGCTCCCTTCGCCATTAAGGCTTTCACGATATCCTTATGGCCTTCCTGTGCCGCCACAAACAACGGCGGCACACCATCCTTCGTCTGAAGATTCACATTGGCTCCCCCACTGACCAACGCTTCCACCATACCCTTGTACCCCTTGAAGCAGGCAATGTGGAGGCACGTGGAGCCAGACTCTCGCTGAGTATTCACATCGGCGCCGGCTGCTATGAGCATCTCCGCCGCTACTCGCTGGTTGCGCTCCGTCGCTGAATAGAGGGCGCTGGGTCCGTCCGTGTCGACGAAGAAGATGGCGGAGTCTTGGGCGAACAGACCGTCGGGTCGCTTCTCCGGTGGTTTGGGAGGTTCAGTGTAGAGCGTGGCGAACAGGTTCCGCGCGTCTGGAGAGACGCCTGCTTGGATGAAAACCTGGAGAGATTGGACGGGTTGTCAGTTAGAGACTGAATGAGTATATTGTGGGATACATTGTGGGATACAGGAAGAACTTGACATGACTCAATTCCTGCACCTTTAAAAATTTTAGAATTTTTGAAGAATGAACAAGTTGCCTTAAAAAATACATGCACCATGCTTTGCTTGTGGAAATTATGAATAGCGTAATTGCTTCAGGGTATGCCAGGTCGACAGAACCAATTAGGTCCTGACAAAAGTTTTGTTTACAGATAACGTCATGATTGAGACATTAATAAAGACAAAAGATTCAGACTGTGAGAACTATATATAAAATCCTTACTTTGATAATATCCAGATATCCTTGGCTAGCTGCCAAGCCTAGAGGGCACCACTCATCCTTGTCATCTGTGCCAGGACGGCCCGCAATCGCAGCTATATGCGGCTGATACTGACTCACGAAATTCTTCACCTTTTCTGTGTCATGGTTGCGAACATATCGCAGCAGGTTTTTGCGTAGGGTGGGTAAGTCTGGGGTGCTCATCGTGAACTAAAAATACAACAGAGACTCAAATATGTACTTATATAACAGCAAACAAAATCGCAAATGAATAAAATCTGTAGTATTTAGCGCACCAACATGGCCCAGGTGAAACAAGTTTGAACATAGCCAGCTACATGTAGGTGTCTGAATATTCACTTACTGGGGACTTTCTTTAATATGATATGATATGAATAAACGGAATATATGTCAGAATATATGACCTTCAATATCACATGAACCACATTTTTGTTGATAATTTTTGCATTGGAATCCTGGATCAAAATACTGTTGGTACAGTGGCAGTTTCTGTTCTTTAGTCTAAGAAAAAAAAAAGGTTTGACCCGGGACTAATTGAAAAAAAAAAATTGAAATATGTTTTTTTAAGTCTTTGGGTAGCCCATATGATCATACTAAAAATCTAGGAAAATCCTAGTAGTGGAACAGTTTTATTTATTAGTCCTGGGTTAGGACATATTTTTCGCTCAGTTTACTAGTCTACTTCCAGGCTCTTATAGACCTTAATTCCATCACATTTACCGTTCATCACTATAACATAATCGATCAGAACAGCGAAAAATGAACCGTTACCCCACGACATTCATACTTAAATAGCAAGAAAATAGCAACTCAAAACACTTCTCGGTGTGTTTAAATACTCGTGCAAATATATTGTTGACGTAAGCGACCCTTAACGTGAAATTGCTCTCCGGCACATTACTGAGGCATAAAAGGCGTTGTTGGACGGTTAAATAGATTCGTGTTTAACTGTAGATTATATACATTGTTGTCTTCGCTAAATGTTTTCTGTCAACTGTAATAGGTTAGGCATTATTTGCGTCAGCAAGTTCCCTGCTATATCTAAGAGAGATTGATTTTTTACCACATGTATTTTAGGGAGGCGGTCGTGACACTGTAATGTAAATGTCACGGTTAAGGTTTTATATTGAAAAAGAGTAAAAAGAGATAAAAAGGTTGCTTTGTTAAGTCTCCCACGCAAATCAATACATTCAATTAAGGGAAAAAATACCACACAATGCCGTTGTAGCCAGGAGGTAGATGTCACTTTATATCCAATTAAATTTTCATTAAAATAACCAGTCAGTGTAAAAATGCTGTAAAAAGACGTAATTCAAATCTGTTGACTTTCCGCGTCCTTGATTAAGCCAAGCAGACGGCACTAAGCAACACGAGTGGCATTTCTCTGCTTAACGTCTCACTTTGTGTAACATATCCACGGCACGTTTGCTACCAAAATTGATTTCGATACTCATACATGGAATTTGCCACAATTTGTACGCCTCTAGTTCTCTGGACTAATTCTGCACTTACTGAACGTAGAACACATCACTGAAAAAAAAAGATAAAAAAAGAAAAAAAAACACTCTGGACCTCAGTAGTTATGTTGTTTTCACCAGGTGATTATTTAAATTTGCATATGATTGTACATAATGGCTGTTGATGACGGGCCTATTATCCAGCAGTTATACTGTAGCTTGTTTTTACAGAGCTGATTATCTTGGTTTTTTTTCATGTTCAAATCTCCCTTCAGGGCTGTCGAACTGAATTCAAGACTAAGCACCTTTTTGAAATGAAGCCTTTAAATTCTGATAAAATCTTTAAGCCTGGCTAAATCCTAGTTTTTCGTCAGACTTCAAAAAGTGATATCAAACACATGAACTAGAGACACGTGTCAACACCTTGTTTGTGTAGCGTCTAAAATGTGGCACACGCGCCCCGTGATAACACACACACTTCACGTGAAGGGGATCACGAAGAAAGGCAATTGAAAAAAAGTTTGGACATGGTGTTCAACGTGCTGAGTATATACATTCCTAACACCGTGAACAGAGCCGCTGTGCAGCTTCTCTTTTTCTGTTCAAAATATACATATATTCAGGCTGTATTTCTTGCTAACTTAAAAAACCTACCTACAGACGTGTAAGATTGGATATTTTATTATTGAAGAGACTTAAGTTTGTGATCATCGGGGCGGATAATAAATAATTTGGCTTGGGCTTGTAAACATATAGCGGGCTCTTTACCCGAAATCAATGTGAACTAAATTTTCTGTGTTATCGCTAAATCTGCCCTCAACTGATCAGTACAGAATGAAAACATTTGTACGTCACTGGTTTTAACTCCACAAAGACTGCACAAGGTTTTAACACCACAAAGACTGCACAAGGTTTTAACACCACAAAGACTGCACAAGGTTTTAACACCACAAAGACTGCACAAGGTTTTAACACCACAAAGACTGCACAAGGTTTTAACACCACAAAGACTGCACAAGGTTTTAACACCACAAAGACTGCACAAGGTCTAACTGTGCACTTGACAACAATATGTGAGCTAAGGAATGAATAATACACTGGTCGTAAACAGCGTTGTTATTGTAGCAGCCCATACAGCCTGCACTTGACGTAAGAAGGATTTAATTTTGTGGAAAATTCACTCTGCTGTCAAACTGATATCAGCTCTCTCTCCCTTTCTCTGCTGCACGAACAAGAGAATACAGTCACAGCTGTAATAATGACTCCCTTTACCAACTGCTGTACCAACTATTCCTCGCTGTGACTCTGCTTTTTGCAGTATGAACAAAACAACAGCGTTCTGTAAAGCGATTAACGTACATGAAGGTAGACAGCAATTTATTTTTCTAGTGCTTTTATAAAATATTTAACGTCACTAAATCTACAGTGCGGCTGTATTCCAAACTACATATACCAATGACTATAACACGACCCGTTATCCTGAAAATGACTATCTAACCATCAGTGCGGTCCCTAATTTTGTATATAACTATTACTTGATGGTTATAGAGATACTTAAAGATACTTGGTTTAGGCTAAGTTGTTAGTATGTTGAGCTACATGTGTGAGTCGAAGTAAATCTTAAATGTTATATTCCAGGTTTGCGTTTAATAATAATAATAATAATAATAGTTTTCTTCTCTAGTGTATTCCATAATTTAGAGGCTCCAATCCTCCGGTGACACGCGACAGTTTGCCCTCATATAAACATTTCAAGTCTTTTTTCCTGCGGTATACTCTATGCTGATATTGCGTATACCCGTTCAAGGCTGACTTGGTGATTCAGACTTACTGTTCATTTTCACCTTGCCTGCCTGCGTGTACCGTCCTATCGACTCTTTGATGCTAAATTAACTGTTTATCTGCACAATTAACTGTCTTGCTTTGAAAGATTTCAACAGAACAATATCTATTCCATTACCTGGACGTTGTTGGTGCTTTTTTCCTCCACTAAAATGTTTTACATTCAATTACAACCGCATTGCATTCAATTGTGGATGAATCAAGACAAGGGGGACCCGACAGGATCGTTTCCTAAGCTGAATATAAACCGAATCAATACCTAAGCCCTGCCATACAATTGTTTGTCGTGTACCTAATAAATCTGATAACTTCACTGATATTTGTTTTGTCTTGTTGAACGATCAGCTTTTAGGCTTGATTTAGATGTCGGTCGATTAGAGGAAGGGGGTCGGTCTATTATTGTGCCTCTTACGCCATACTAAATAGAATTGATGGAATTCTGTTGATCCAAATGCATTGCCTTGGGGTAGATACATTTGAGAGCTTTTAAATGTTATTGTTTGTCTTCTCCTTACTTTTCTTCATATTGATGAATACATTTAGCCTGAAATGCCATGTTGTGTTGATGAAGTCAACTCCCACATAGAAATTGTCTCTTCATAGAACACGACGTACAGAAATGTGTTAGTATTCACCGTGTATTTCAGCGCCTGGATGTATTATACTGAGTATATGACAGTCATAACTTCCTTAAAACAAAGAAGAAATAAATAATAAGAACAGAAATAAACAGGACCAGGCCACAGGGGCGGATTTAGGCCGTCCTCTGGGTCTTCTGGAAGACGGTCAAATTTTAAAGTTTACATTGACGGGTATGTAATATTTTCTGTCGGAAGACGGTCAAAAATTGAGGACGAATTAACAAAGATAAATTGGAAGACTGTCAGAAAATATCTCTGGATCCGCCCCTGGGCCAGGTAGTGATGATGATGAATACAAGCTTCCTGTGATGCCACGTGTGTATGTAATTGGGCACAATACCAGTATGTTCACGTGTGTAATTGATATATTGTAGTAAAGCTGGGAGCACCTGTTATAATGTCATTATTATATACCTATGACAGTCGTGGAACAGCTCTGACAGGTAGTTTCAGTAAGAAGAAGAAGAAGAAGAAGAGAGAGAGAGGGGGTTGAAGGAGAAAAAAATGGAAGAGAGAGATGATTGTCATATACAATGTACGTACCCTTAACACATTCTTTTTCAAATAAATCCCAAAATATCATATGTACATTTTCTACATCACACAGAAAGAACTAGTCCTACCTACTGAGGACAATTATACAGACATTGTCACGCACTGCTAGGTAATAACGTCTCTAACTCAACCCTTACACCTCACCTGTTACTTTACCTGAGTCTTGTTGACGGCAATGGCGTATTGTACACTGTATATCCCCACCGGCAATTTATACAATTTATACAGCAGTAAATCCCCAAACCCGTCCTGTTAAAGTCACTTCTCCACCGTGTAACTCCCCGTTATCAACTAAAGCAAAGGCTCTTGCCTCAGTTTCCGTCCTCTTGCACTGGAATAACTTCGATTTTCAAAGACTTGGAGTTTATTAAAGCCAAGTAGTGTACCGTAACCAAGGGCCCTTAACCAGACGAGAATCAACCCACAGGCCGTTCTGTTATACCCTAACTTGGCCTCTCAGTTCTCATAAACAACGCCAGCACATGAATACGGTTTTAATGGCACACAGATATCCATGACCCGGGTCCTTGTGCCTGAATGCGTTCTTATAAAGGGCTCAGTTAGAGGATTAACAACAGGTGTGACTTAAGTATCGATCGAACGCTAATCACAGCCTTATTGAAAACCCCCTGGTTTTCTCTGGCCATAGTGAATTGGATAAAATAGAGGGAAAAGCGCAGTAAATTCAACTCTTAACTATTGTGGCGGTCAAGCGGAAAAGAAAACGTTTTCAGTGGGTTCTCTGGGGTAAAGAATCGTGAAACGACAACACGGGGGCTAGAAAGGGGGCATTCTATACACACGCGGTATTAGATTCTTCTGTACACCTGTTTTCACTTAATGTTTGCCTTTGGGGAAGACTGCACATGATGTAATGTTTAAAGATGGTAAAATAATACTAAATGAGAAAAAGACTTGTTTTTTAAAGTAATTCAAGTGACGTAAACAAGTTCGCGTGCAGAAGTTCCATTGAAAAGAATGCGATCTCTTTACAGTGGTCCACTGATCCCTTAGTTGGAGTTTTTATAATAATTTCCATCGATAGATTTTCTGCTTGGTGGTTCTTTTAATTTTGTTCAGCCCATCAAAGCCATAATCGCGGGTGTCAATGAGTGAATTAAAGTAACGAGTTCACTTATTATGTCCTCCGAATGGAGCAGTTAACCATGATTCTGCAGATTATGTTTCATTTGATGCAATTTAAACAAAAAACTAACAAAAACCAAGTTTATTTTGTAAAGTGTCTTTCAATGTGTCCCGGTTATACGGTGCAACATGTTTATTTAGACATGGCCGTAAATACAAAGTCTACTCTACCTGAAAAAGGGTTATTCTATTATAATATTATTAATGATCTTTTTGTTCTTTTTTTTGCCAATTCGGTCTACCAGAACGAGAAGTATTTTTCAACATTTGCAAGAAAATATAGGAGTAAACAGAGGGAGACAGAAATATAATTAAAATAAAGAAACAAATAAACGAACGAATGTTGTGAAACTTATTCAGAAAAAAAGAGATGCAGATCTTTCTGTACTACACTGTGAGCTGTGGCGTGGATTACGTTATAGTAAGGGTGCTCATGATTATATGATGGGCCGGAGAGGAGAAAATGCTTGTCGATTTATTGTTATGGTTAGCAGGACAAAAGTTCTGCCGTGTTTGACATTGTCTTGCAAGAGAAAAATCTAATAAAGTGGATTGTATCGATATTTTTTTGAGTCAACAAACATGTTAATTAATGTCGAACATTAGAACTGTCCATCATTATTCAATATGACGTTTTTGAAAATGCTGAAAAGTGAAGTTTGTTATCGCAGCAAAATCTAGCTATCAAAACGAGGCTGGACATGACATTTTCATGGGTGCAATGTACTTTTTTCCCCAAAGTTTCTGAGCAATATCCGTATCAGTTACACTCATACATTAAATGATTCAACCGTTAGTTTGCAAGTTACCTTGTAAACTGTCGAAATGGGGGGTGGGGGGGGGGGTGGGGGGGGGTGTTAAGGCATTGCTTTTTTTTTTCTGGTGCACTGTGCACAACGCCTACCGTGCACGGTGCGGTCTTTATATATTAAGACAAAGACATATGGCACAGGCCCAGTCCCAATCCAGGTATATTCTAAATCCACTAATCTCAATATGGCATAATGCGTTAATTGTTAAAAGCAGCACAGCTTTATACATTAAGTAATTTACAGGATTAGTGGATTTAGAATAAACCTGGATTGGGACTGGGCCTGTGACATTTTATATGTGAATTAGACTCCTTAGTATTCTGTAGTTTTGATAAAGGGGTATGTGACGTGCCGTATCACAACCAAAAAGACCAATCAGATTGTGGAAAACAATGTTCTGTGTTTATTTTTTTTATTTTGAACTTTATTTAAGAGGGTAACAAGTGAAGCGTAAGCTTATCTTCCACATGGCCCTCTGTTACCAGTCATATAACAGTACTGGATTTGTTCCCTACTTCAACCTTTATATGCTGAGTGTTAAGCAAGGAACCAGTAGGTACCTGCATGACCCGGCAGGGGAGTGAACCCACGACCTAATGCACAGGAGGCCAGCACTCTACCATTTTAACCATCTGGTCAGTGTTCCTATATCGTCCTGCATCGAATTAATAATTTGTTCGTCAAGGTTACAAGTAACGGGTCCCATTTATCTAACCCAGTCGCAATCTTGGACATATTCAAGGGCAATGTTTTCACCCAAAATTTATATTCCACCTCCGACAAATAAAAGCTATGGAAATCGGTATTGGGTTACAATTGCTCGTGTCCAAGACAGGGTTCCCATAAACCTATCGTACTAGCTGGATCGATCTAAGTCCGAGAGGATTCTAACTAGATTGCATTCAGTTTAAACGACTTTAATGTCACGCCCACTGAAGCTGCTAGGGGGTAATCGCACACGCTAACAGTGAATGCACTTTATCAAGAATCCCCTCGGAGTTAGATCGATCCTGCTAGTACGACAGGGTTATGGGAATGGTCCCCTAATTGGACCAACATCGATGAAATTGCGCAGTTAATATCTTTTTTGCAATATCAAACAGACAGAAATACAACTGCAGGTACTTTTTGTCAAAATTGCTTTGAACTTTTTTTGAAAAAAGCCATTTTATTACTCATTTCAGGGCGATTTTGTTCTACTGCACATGCTGGTGTGATTACCACCAGCAGGCATCGAGCGTTTTGCAAAAAGCACACTTTACCATCCCACTGAATATAAATATAGGCAAACCTCTCGCTCGTTGTTTGTTGTAAGATTCGACGTTGATCTGAACACCAGAAACACTGTATTCAACAGGCTGTCGCATATTCAGGTAAGAAAATTATTTGAAACGTTTGATGATGCACAAGAAAGATGTGAAGGTAGAGTTTATGCTACGGAGTTAATAATAGTTTTCTATTTATGAAACTGTACTGATAGAAATATAGATAGATTCATAATTTATTTCCTATTTCAGCAGCTCATTGCTGTCAAAAATGATCCATATTGTTGCACACTGATGCAATTTCAAATAGGTAGTCTTATACGAAAGAAGACTAATTATTAGAAAGTGTATGGACTATAGATAGATATCAGGAATGGTCGAATTGTTTGTTATCTCTTTTTGCAGTGAATAGTTTAGTGTAATGTGCACCTCAAATCCACTAAAATCAAAAGAAAGAAAAGTCATTTTTGAGAATTTTGTGATGTCCTATTGTAGTGTTGTAATTCACCTGTACAGCTAGGCCAATAAGACCGTTCACAGTAGGTCACGGTCAGTGCGACCGTGACTCCTGATAACCCCCGCGTGGATAATAACAGGGCAAATAGCGACAGTTTAAGCTGTTAAGTTATCAATCGTAACCATCTCGGACTCCCCGCTGTCTACATCGTGTCCCGTCAAGCAGCCTGTGCAATCATACNTCGTCGTTTTAGTAATTTTGCTGCTGGCTTGATGATAGAGAAAATACCGAAACCGAAAATAAAGTTATTTTCTCCCCAACATACCGATGCGGCGTCACCTTACTAGGCCTATATATAATGGTCTTTGAAAAGTATAAGTTATCTCTTTCTTTAAAATATTAATTGTTCCATTATTTCTTGTTCGTTTATTTTCCTCAGTTCTTTGAAAAACTTTGCATATATCTTTAATTTTCTTCTGTCCTTTTGCTTTTAAATTTTTATCCAATCATAATTTTTCTTTCTTTTCCTTCTCCATTATGTCGCGAGAACAGATAAGTTTTTTGTTCACACTAAACTTTTTCAAACAGTTTTCGATTGACTTTACATTTTATTGGCTTTTTGGTAAGAAAGAGAGGTTTCTTTCTAAAATCAGCTTGATAGGATTTTTTTAAATGAATTTTGGTGATGTTCTTCCCATAATTAAGTAATAAAGCACACCCTTTTATTTCAGACTTGTTGCAAGAATTAAGGCAGCTTTCTTTCGAAAATAGGCATGGTCGGATAAATTTACGAAAAACATGTTTTTGCGCGTGCGTTGTTGGCATTCGCCCTACAAGATAAAGAATGTATTTTTAGTCAATTTCAAGTTTGCTGTGTCATTTTCTTTTTGATATAAAAGCAAGTTAGATAGATTAATTTCCACAAAAAGTTTGCCACATTCTATCCCAGCAAAATAATATCATGAGAATAATATAAGGACAATAATTTTTATGTAACTATAAACTTTATGGTAATGTCAAAACTCGTGCCATGTTTGCTGGGATGGTGTTTTGCAGTTGTGTTGTACAGTAGTTAACACTGGGCCATGTAGAGAGTTGTTTGTTGTTGTTGTTGTTGCAATTGTAAAAACAATTAAATCTTATTTCAATTTAAGTAACCCTTTATTGTCATATGACGTGCTGTTACATTTGTGTCTATTATAGGCTGTTTGGAATTCTCACCCAGCCACTTTTTTTTACTTTTTTAAGAAATGGAGTCATTATGCTATGCCTAAAAGGTGAGGGGGGTTATCTCTTTCTCTCAATGTATATGTTTCATTTTAGTAAAGAGTTAAGTCTAGTAAAGAGATTTATTGAGAGAGAGAGAGAGAGAGAGAGAGAAATGGAAATATATGTGGTTTTCTGTTCTTTCAGACATGGGTTCCCTAGTAAAACTGTTGATTGCGGCTTGTGTGATAGCTGTTGTTCTCCAAGAAACCAGGGCAGGAATTGTAACCAAAAGACAAGACTCGGGTGACCAGAGCAATCAGAGTATGGATGAAATCTTCAAATCCATTGACACCGACGGGTAAGTCAGGTGAACGCACTGACCCAAGAACATCCATTTTAATCCTTGTAGCATTGCCGCATCGGATGTAACTCGAGATCCGCTGATGATATTGCGTCATTTTATAAAAGTAATAATAATAGTAAGTTTTGTCTCCCATAGAGAAACGAATCCTAGCAAATAGTAAATAGAGCTGCTCACCTTCTGCCTACATATATTCATACCGCTTATGTCAATTTTCTGAGAAAGTTGATCATCCTATGAATCTTTTTTTGTCACTCACAGCTATTCTAATTCGAAATCTCGAGGAACTTGATATAGTCAGCGATCATGTTTTGCGTAGAAATTAAATTGAAATATCAAATTTTACGTTCCAGAGACGGGTCCATTAGCCAAGAAGAGTTCGAAGCTGCCACTGGCGGGGAAGAGTCTGTTGAAGACCAGTTTGAGTCCATGGACATGGACCATGATGGCAAGATAGACAGTGAAGAATTTGACCCCGAGATGAATCCCCCAGAACAGAATGAGGCTTAAAACACATGTTCACGGCCCTTGAACTTTCTTCCACCGGTCCATTCTTTCAGTGGCAAGTCTTTTCTCTCAGACTTTGTTTATAAAAACAATACACCTATATGAACTGTGGTGGGCATCATTTTCTTGATTTTGTCAAGATTCTATTAGTCGTCTTATATACACCTCCTTCACAATATTGCTTTGACGAATAAAAGGGTTCTACAAATCGCAGTTCTGACTTTCCAGTTTTAAAATTCTCAGCTCACGATTTGTGAGAATGGAACTTATTGAGATTCCGAGTATAAAAAAAAGATGTAACAGAAATGCTTCAAAATGCTTTAAAATGCTTAAAGAACAAAGTAATGCATAATACATATCCCCTTCCCCGAAAACTTACGTTCATTTCGTTAGAAAGTTGGTCTATTTGACAGGTTTTAACTAGATTTACTGTTTGTTTAGGGATGTATACCAAATACCTCCACATCTTTTAAAGTATGTGTTTCTGCCCACAAAAGTACAACTCAACTAATTTAAAGGTACTGCGAATATAAAATAGGTTCGTTAACCATCTATAGACCCGCTCTAAATATCTACAAAATAAACCAAATATCTATCAAACTTCACAAGTGATATTTGCAAGTCTCCATGGCAACAGTGACTGAGTAACTAGAAACTTAAAAAAAAATAAAAAATAAAAACGCTTTCCAGCTCCTACCCTTAGCAAAATGAAAAGTTTGCAGCAAACTTGCAAAAAATTTGCAGCAAATTTGCTGCAAACCAAATAGTTTGCAAGAAACTGTTTGCAGGTTGTTGCAAGAAAAATCACAGTTGTTGCAAATTTGCTGCAAATTTGCAGGAAGATTAAAAGTTTGCAGGTAGTTCGCAAGAAAACTATCATTTTCTAGCAAATTCGCAGCAAATTTGCAAGAAAGCTTCTATTTTCTTGCAAATTTGCAGCAAATTTGCAAGAAGACCCTCATTTACATAAAAGTTTGCTGGATGTTTGCAAGAATAACTATACACTGTTGCAAATTTGCAGCAAATTTGCAAGAAACTGCTCATTTACATAAAAGCCTGAAGATAGTTTGCAAGGATAAATATACCCTGTTGCAAATTTGCAGAAAATTTGCAAGAAAACCTTCATTTACATAACATTTCGNAGTGCTCCACGGTGTGTAAACCTAGGAGGGTAAGGAACGTTTTGACATTTACAGGGTGTTTAAAATATCTATTTGTCATTATGTGCCTCTAAAATCTGTATGACCTGCTATTGCTCTAATTAATGCACATAATCCCAAATATGAATTTTGGTGCGAAAATCCTCTTTTGGATACCTTGAAAGAGAGAGATAAAAGAAGCGCGAAGAAATTACTAAAAGAGATAAATTTATAAACAAACATTTTATCATCACCATTCCTTAAAATGAATCTGGTGTCTCTTCTCCTAATGCCGCTGAACTAAGTTATGCGTACCCTACCAACTGTAATACGTCGGCGCAAATACTATCAATAGTTTGCTTAACTTCGGGGTTGATTTTGGTCTTCCAGGCATGCGCAGTAGCGTTAGAATCTGTTCGGACAGTCCCGTAAGCACCGTCAGCTTTACTTCCATTCACCAGTCGCATAAATGTCTGCTTGATATCTTCTGTTATACTGAGGGAAAGAACTTTGTAAACGTATGATATCATTTTCAATGGATTTTCTGCCACATCTTCGTACCGTATTTCAAAGAAACGCCCTGGGTAGCGTTTTTGAATTCGACGTCCGTTGACAAGATTGTTTTTCATACGTTCACATAAGTCGAGTGCGGCGCGCTTTGCTCCAACACTTCTGAAAGCCCCCGTAGTAAGACCAGACGACAAGGCGCCTCGTGGATCCCTCAACAAATGAATGACACGGATTCCTGGGTTAGTTTGTAAAAAATTCTCAGCAATATTTATATCATTTAGACGTACGCATTTAATGGCTTTCACCGTTGCTTTTTCGCAAATGTCTTTGTAAATTGCCAAACACGGGGATGAGGCATTTTTCACTGTGTTTATTTTAGTGCAGTGTGTAAAACGCCTCACGTGCATCATGCGGTCCTTGTTGATATACATCGGACTCCATAGTACAGACAAAGGGATCCGTGACGTATCACAATCAAATAGACCAATCAAACTGTGAAAAAATATTCTCTGCGTTCCTACATCGTCTGCACTCATCTTTGTTCCATTCAAGAAAGCAATGTCACTGGCTTTAGGCTGTTGCGCGTTTATTATGTTGAACAATGGTTCAAATATGTATAAAGCATTTGGATTTCGGTTGAACATTTCACCAATAAATGACGACCCTGATCGATAATAGCCAAAAATGAGTACTCCAGTGGTCGGAGACGCCGTGGGCCTACTGACAGCAGACACAGTGGTTGCCTCGCTAGCAAGTGTCATTGAGGTTTTGACAGGCAAAGACGGTTTTATGCTGGTCATTTTAGGAAAAAATTCCAAAGAATCGGATACTTTTATCTCGACAGGGGGCGACTCAGTCACAGATTCTGGACCACGTGTGACTTCCACTGTTGCAGGTGGCGTCGATACACGGCGATACATGTTGGTCCATCTAAGAATCGTTGGCACTTTGGTAAAAGAGATGACGTCCACTGAAAACATTAATATGGTGTCATATATATTAAACAATCCATGATTCTGTATCGGTGCTGATTGAGGTGGGCAGGAAACTAGGTCATCGTGTGTACAAATCTGTGCTGAGAGAGACAGAGAGAGTTTCAAGGCTGAGTTCAGCATTTAAATTGATAAAACATGAAATCAGTCTATAATATAAAACACATTACCTTTCCAGTACACAGACACATACACCAGCAACAAGCCTGTATACAGCCCAGTAAACCAAGTCACACACGTCATAAGTTTTGCCATCGTGGCAAAGATGTGGCCAGATATTTTGGCTTTTGCTCTCTTACACATAAACTTGCGATCTTATCTAACTTCCTTGAAAATTGATGAGTCTTTTTCCCTTGACTTAAGATTTCTATCTTGGCTTCACAAATGCTATGTATTTATCTGCTGCCTTGACTCAAACTTTTGACCACAATTGCCAGTAGAAATCTGAATAATTCATCTGTTAATACTGGGTTGGAAATACCAAACAATCACATTCATCTGTTAATACTGGGTTGGAAATATCAAACAATCACAAGACATCCTCACAGTGATATTATAGATAGAAAGCGGGGATTGTCGAAAATTGTTTGTTGTCGTTTTTTGCTGTGAACAGTTCAGAATAATGTGCACATAAAATCCACTAATATCAGAAGGAAGAAAAGTCATTGAGAAAATTTTATAATGTCCTTTTGTAGTGATGTCATCAAGCTTTATACTGTTGTTTTGATCACTTTGATAGCTGTCTTAGTATTAGAGAAAATACCAAAACCGAAAAAGGTATTTTCTTCCTACAATACAAATATAGCGTCACCTTGCTTCATTTAATTGGATCTTCGAAAAGTATACTTTAGGTCTTTGTTAAAAGCTTTGTATTGTTCCATTATTTTTATATTCATTTATTTTCCTCATTTCCCCACTTGAGCTCAGTGTTATTAAATCTTCTGCCTATATAATATTTTTGCTTTCTAATGTCCTTTTGATTATTAACTTTATATTTCTTCAGTCTTTCATTTCCTTTTTTTCATCATTCTGCAACAAGAGCAGCTCAGTTTTTTGTCCACAATAAACATTCCAAAATGAATTTTTATTTGGCTTTACATTTTAAATGATTTTTTTTTTTTTGTAAAATAAAAAAAAAAAAAAAAACAGCTTCCTTCCTAAAATCAGCGACCATATATGCATGCGTATTATTGTAACATTGCCGCACCGAATGTAACTCGAACTTTGCTGCTGATATTGTGTCATTTTAATCACAAACTGTTAGACTTGCAACATATGACTCTGCTGGTGTAATTATTTTATCATAAAAAATATCCAGAGCTTATATCGTTATTGGATTGGAAAAAATATTTAGGGCCATCTGTTCCCAAGACCTTCATACAGGGGCGGATTAAGGCCGTCTTCTGGGTCTTCTGGAAGACGGTCAGATTTTCAAGATAATATTGATGGGTATCTATTTTTTTCTTTCGGAAGACTGTGGAAAATGGAGGATGAATCAACAAAGATAATTTGGAAGACTGTCAGAAAATATTTCTGGATCCGCCCCTGTTCATGGGATATTACTGGTACCGAGTCTACTATTGGGATCACGTATTGATTGATTGCTGTAGCTGTGGTTTACTTCTCTAAATTATAACACAATATTGCGATAACAGGTATTCAGTTTCACTATAAAGTGTCAGTTATGCCTACGATAGAGAAACGAATCTTACCAAATAGTGAATGGAACTGTTAATCACATAACTACATAGACATGTATTCATACCGCTGTTGCCAAATTTCTGTGCAAGATGATCATTCTATGAAGCATTGTTGCAGTTACAAAGATTCTAATTCGAAATCTCGACAGAACTCTTGCGGAAACTATACAATGTGCAATCAGGTTGTTTCGTAATGGCGTTGCGCGTAAAATTAAGTTATGCGTACCCTACCAACTTTAATACATCGACGCAAATACTATCAATAGTTTGCTTAACTTCGGGGTTGATTTTGGTCTTCCAGGCATGCGCAGTAGCGTTAGAATCTGTTCGGACAGTCCCGTAAGCACCGTCAGCTTTACTTCCATTCGCCAGTCGCATAAATGTCTGCTTGATATCTTCTGTTATACTGAGGGAAAGAACTTTGTAAACGTATGATATCATTTTCAATGGATTTTCTGCCACATCTTCGTACCGTATTTCAAAGAAACGCCCTGGGTAGCGTTTTTGAATTCGACGTCCGTTGACAAGATTGTTTTTCATACGTTCACATAAGTCGAGTGCGGCGCGCTTTGCTCCAACACTTCTGAAAGCCCCCGTAGTAAGACCAGACGACAAGGCGCCTCGTGGATCCCTCAACAAATGAATGACGCGGATTCCTGGGTTAGTTTGTAAAAAATTCTCAGTAATATTTATATCATTTAGACGTACGCATTTAATGGCTTTCACCGTTGCTTTTTCGCAAATGTCTTTGTAAATTGGCAAACATGGGGATGAAATAATTTTCACTGTGTTTCTTTTGGTGCATTGTGTAAAACGCCTCATGTGCATCATGCGGTCCTTGTTGATATACATCGGACTCCATAGTACAGACAAAGGGATCCGTGACGTATCACAATCAAATAGACCAATCAAACTGTGAAAAAATATTCTCTGCGTTCCTACATCGTCTGCACTCATCTTTGTTCCATTCAAGAAAGCAATGTCACTGGCTTTAGGCTGTTGCGCGTTTATTATGTTGAACAATGGTTCAAATATGTATAAAGCATTTGGATTTCGGTTGAACATTTCACCAATAAATGACGACCCTGATCGATAATAGCCAAAAATGAGTACTCCAGTGGTCGGAGACGCCGTGGGCCTACTGACAGCAGACACAGTGGTTGCCTCGCTGGCAAGTGTCATTGAGGTTTTGACAGGCAAAGAAGGTTTTATGCTGGTCATTTTAGGAAAAAATTCCAAAGAATCAGATACTTTTATCTCGACAGGGGGCGACTCAGTCACAGATTCTGGACCACGTGTGACTTCCACTGTTGCAGTTGGCGTCGATACACGGCGATACATGTTGGTCCATCTAAGAATCGTTGGCACATTGGTAAAAGAGATGACGTCCACTGAAAACATTAATATGGTGTCATATATATTAAACAATCCATGATTCTGTATCGGTGCTGATTGAGGTGGGCAGGAAACTAGGTCATCGTGTGTACATGTACAAATCTGTGCTGAGAGAGACAGAGATAGTTTCAAGGCTGAGTTCAGCATTTAAATTGATAAAACATGATATCAGTCTATAATATAAAACACATTACCTTTCCAGTACACAGACACATACACCAGCAACAAGCCTGTATACAGCCCAGTAAACCAAGTCACACACGTCATAAGTTTTGCCATCGTGGCAAAGATGTGGCCAGATATTTTGGCTTTTGCTCTCTTACACATAAACTTGCGATCTTATCTAACTTCCTTGAAAATTGATGAGTCTTTTTCCCTTGACTTAAGATTTCTATCTTGGCTTCACGAATGCTGTGTATTTATCTGCTGCCTTGACTCAAACTTTTGACCACAATTGCCAGTAGAAATCTGAATAATTCATCTGTTAATACTGGGTTGGAAATACCAAACAATCACAAGACATCCTCACAGTGATATTATAGATAGAAAGCGGGGATTGTCGAAAATTGTTTGTTGTCGTTTTTTGCTGTGAACAGTTCAGAATAATGTGCACATAAAATCCACTAATATCAGAAGGAAGAAAAGTCATTGAGAAAATTTTATAATGTCCTTTTGTAGTGATGTCATCAAGCTTTATACTGTTGTTTTGATCACTTTGATAGCTGTCTTAGTATTAGAGAAAATACCAAAACCGAAAAAGGTATTTTCTTCCTACAATACAGATATAGCGTCACCTTGCTTCATTTAATTGGATCTTCGAAAAGTATACTTTAGGTCTTTGTTAAAAGCTTTGTATTGTTCCATTATTTTTATATTCATTTATTTTCCTCATTTCCCCACTTGAGCTCAGTGTTATTAAATCTTCTGCCTATATAATATTTTTGCTTTCTAATGTCCTTTTGATTATTAATTTTATATTTCTTCAGTCTTTCATTTCCTTTTTTTCATCATTCTGCAACAAGAGCAGCTCAGTTTTTTGTCCACAATAAACATTCCAAAATGAATTTTTATTTGGCTTTACATTTTAAATGATTTTTTTTTGTAAAAAAAAAAAAAAAAAACAGCTTCCTTCCTAAAATCAGCGACCATATATGCATGCGTATTATTGTAACATTGCCGCACCGAATGTAACTCGAACTTTGCTGCTGATATTGTGTCATTTTAATCACAACCTGTTAGACTTGCAACATATGACTCTGCTGGTGTAATTATTTTATCATAAAAAATATCTAGAGCTTATATCGTTATTGGATTGGAACAAATATTTAGGGCCATCTGTTCCCAAGACCTTCATACAGGGGCGGATTTAGGCCGTCTTCTGGGTCTTCCGGAAGACGGTCAGATTTTCAAGATAATATTGATGGGTATCTATTTTTTTCTGTCGGAAGACTGTGGAAAATGGAGGATGAATCAACAAAGATAATTTGGAAGACTGTCAGAAAATATTTCTGGATCCGCCCCTGTTCATGGGATATTACTGGTACCGAGTCTACTATTGGGATCACGTATTGATTGATTGCTGTAGCTGTGGTTTACTTCTCTAAATTATAACACAATGATGCGATAACAGGTATTCACTTTCACTATAAAGTGTCAGTTATGCCTACGATAGAGAAACGAATCTTACCAAATAGTGAATGGAACTGTTAATCACATAACTACATAGACATGTATTCATACCGCTGTTGCCAATTTTCTGTGCAAGCATTCTATGAAGCATTGTTGCAGTTACAAAGATTCTAATTCGAAATCTCGACAGAACTCTTGCGGAAACTATACAATGTGCAATCAGGTTGTTTCGTAATGGCGTTGCGCGTAAAATTAAGTTATGCGTACCCTACCAACTTTAATACATCGACGCAAATACTATCAATAGTTTGCTTAACTTCGGGGTTGATTTTGGTCTTCCAGGCATGCGCAGTAGCGTTAGAATCTGTTCGGACAGTCCCGTAAGCACCGTCAGCTTTACTTCCATTCGCCAGTCGCATAAATGTCTGCTTGATATCTTCTGTTATACTGAGGGAAAGAACTTTGTAAACGTATGATATCATTTTCAATGGATTTTCTGCCACATCTTCGTACCGTATTTCAAAGAAACGCCCTGGGTAGCGTTTTTGAATTCGACGTCCGTTGACAAGATTGTTTTTCATACGCTCACATAAGTCTAGTGTGGCGCGTGTTTTCCCAAGACGTCTGAGCTGCTTCGTGGCAAGACCAGACGACAAGGCGCCTCGTGGATCCCTCAACAAATGAATGACGCGGATTCCTGGGTTAGTTTGTAAAAATTTCTCAGTAATATTTATATCATTAAGACGTATACATTTAATGACTTTCACCGTTGTTTTTTCACAAATGTCTTTGTAAATTGGCAAACATGGGGATGAAATATTTTTCACTGTGTTTCTTTTGGTGCATTGTGTAAAACGCCTCACGTGCATCATGCGGTCCTTATTAATATACATCCGACTCCATAGTACAGACAAAGGGATCCGTGACGTATCACAACCAAATAGACCAATCAAACTGTGAAAAAATATTCTCTGCGTTCCTACATCGTCTGCACTCATCTTTGTTCCATTCAAGAGAGCAATGTCATTGGCTTTAGGCTGTTGCGCGTTTATAATGTTGAACAATGGTTCAAATATGTATAAAGCATTTGGATTTCGGTTGAACATTTCACCAAAAAATGACGACCCTGATCGGTAATAGGCAAAAATGAGTACTCCAGTGGTCGGAGATGCCGTGGGCCTACTGACAGCAGACACAGTGGTTGCCTCGCTAGCAAGTGTCATTGAGGTTTTGACAGGCGGCGACGGTTTTATGCTGGCAATTTTAGGAAAAAATTCCAAAGAATCAGATACTTTTATCTCGACAGGGGGCGACTCAGTCACAGATTCTGGACCACGTGTGACTTCCACTGTTGCAGGTGGCGTCGATACACGGCGATACATGTTGGTCCATCTTAGAATCGTTGGCACATTGGTAAAAGAGATGACGCCCACTGAAAACAGTAATATAGTGTCATATATATTAAACAAACCATGATTCTGTATCGGTGCTGATTAAGGTAGGCAGGAAACTAGGTCAGCGTGTGTAAATCTGTGCTGAGAGAGAGAGAGTTTCCAAGCTGAGTTCATCATTTAAATTAATAAAACACGAAATCAGTCTATAATATAGAACACGTTACCTTTTAAGTACATTGCTACATAGACCAGCAACAATCCTGAACACACTCCAGTCAACCAAGTCACGCACGTCATCAATTTTGCCATTGTGGCAAAGATTTGGCCAGATATTTTGGCTTTTGCTCACTGACACATAAACTTGCGACCTTCTCTAACTTCCTTGAAAATTGATGAGTCTTTTCCCCTTGACTCAAGATTTCTATCTTGGCTTCACGAATGCTGTGTATTTATCTGCTGCCTTGACTCAAGCTTTTGACCACAATTGCCAGTAGAAATCTGAATAATTCATCTGTTAATTTCGGGTTGGAAATACCAAACAATCACATTCATCTGTTAATACTGGGTTGGAAATATCAAACAATCACAAGGTATCCTCACAGTGATATTATAGATAGAAAGCGGGGATTGTCGAAAATTGTTTGTTGTCGTTTTTTGCTGTGAACAGTTCAGAATAATGTGCACATAAAATCCACTAATATCAGAAGGAAGAAAAGTCATTGAGAAAATTTTATAATGTCCTTTTGTAGTGATGTCATCAAGCTTTCTATACTGTTGTTTTGATCACTTTGATAGCTGTCTTAGTGCTAGAGAAAATACCAAAACCGAAAAAGGTATTTTCTTCCTACAATACAGATATAGCGTCACCTTGCTTCATTTAATTGGATCTTCGAAAAGTATACTTTAGGTCTTTGTTAAAAGCTTTGTACTGTTCCATTATTTTTATATTCATTTATTTTCCTCATTTCCCCACTTGAGCTCAGTGTTATTACATCTTCTGCCTATATAATATTTTTGCTTTCTAATGTCCTTTTGATTATTAATTTTATATTTCTTCAGTCTTTCATTTCCTTTTTTCAACATTCTGCAACAAGATCAGCTCAGTTTTTTGTCCACAATAAACATTCCAAAATTAATTTTTATTTGGTTTTGCATTTTAAATGATTTTTTGTAAAATATCAAAAACAGCTTCTTTAATAAAAATCAGCGACCATATATGCATGCGTATTATTGTAACATTGCCGCACCGAATGTAACTCGAACTTTGCTGCTGAAATTGTGTCATTTTAATCAAAACCTGTTAGACTTGCAAAATATGACTCTGCTGGTGTAATTATTTTATCATAAAAATATCCAGAGCTTATAACGTTATTGGATTGGAACTAATATTTTGAGCCATCTGTTCTCAAGACATTCATAACAGGGGCGGATTTAGGCCGTATTCTGGGTCTTCCGGAAGACGGTCAGATTTTCAAGATAATATTGATGGGTATCTAATTTTTTCTGTCGGAAGACTGTGAAAAATGGAGGATGAATCAACAAAGATAATTTGGAAGACTGTCAGAAAATATTTCTGGATCCGCCCCTGTTCATGGGATATGACTGGTACCCTCTACCAGGGCGAGTGATAGATTTTTTTTACAGATATTCACAGATATGTCTCTAGCTAGATAGATGGTCATTTAGGGCTGAACTCACCCTGTTGAGGAATCCCATGTGGAAACAATTATCTCTGCGCGCGCGCCAAAGGCTTTGTACTTGCTCTGCATGAGCTGAGCTTCACACCGATGTGATAACTGCTCGTTACGCAACCAGTCTAAGGCTTTTTTTATCTGTCACAGAAGAGCAAGTGATTGAAGTCAGAGTAATTAACTGTCTTGATTGCTGTCACGCAGACTTAGACTGGACCTGCTAAGTGGCGGT